TCTCTCTCTCTCTCTCTCTCTCTCTCTCTCTCTCTCTCTCTCTCTCTCTCTCTCTCTCTCTCTCTCTCTCTCTCTCTCTCTCTCTCTGTGCGCCCTCTCTATCAGTTGGTCATGTCTGTCTGACAGTCCCCCCCCCCCCCCCCCTTCTCCCCCTTCCCCTCCTGTGTGCGCGGTGATGGGCCTGGCGCTGCCAATGGTCCTGACTCCTAATACAGTCGAATGTGTCGGGTAGAATGTATAGGGACCATGGCCAGAGCCATATGCATTTCGAAGGTTTGGCCAGAGCCATATGCATTTCGAAGGTTTTGTAGTGGGTACAGGCCAGTCGCCACCACCCGCTAGAGGCTAGTAGAGGGCAAAAATTGGGAGGACCTGCTCGTCCTCCAGGGCCAAAACGACCGCCGACCGGTACTGGTAGGCTGGTAGCGGTACCTCCCGTTTTTGCCAATTGTTAAACTGGCAGGCCGTCGAAGGCATCATTTACTGTTTTTTTGGCAGTTTCGAACTGCCCTCGGGCCCAACTTGGAGTGTACTGTTATTTCTGCAAATGCGAAACTCTGCACCGGTCACAGGTCCAGTTGTCTTTTTCTTTTTTTTTTGGTAGAAAGCTAAAACTTGGACCTTCAGAAGGCTTAGGGCCTCGGTCGACACCACTAATTAGCTGAGGTTTTCATCATTCCACCCCTCCCTAATCACGAAGAAAAACAAGTCAAACTTGTTTTCACATTCGTGGCCGTAAGGGCGGGCCTACAAAAGTAAGGGCTCCGCAGCCAAAACAGACCTTGATGTAAGGATGCCCGTGGAGGTGACCTGAAAGTAGGGGGTGGCACACTGGCACGGTGGCACCCTTACATCCATGAAAAAACCATTTTTATTCTTTATTTTTTTAACGTCAGGTCTGTTTTTGGCATTCCCGGTCCAACGGCAGTGTTGTCCACAATGTCCGGTAGACCGCAGGACCGCAGTCCCATGGCAACCTCCAACGGCCGTACGGTTCCCCGCCTGTGCCCTCGCAGTCCCTCCGGTTCACCGTTTCGGCTGGGATTTGGAGGCGACCGTTGCGGTGGTCCGTGTGGAGGCGGTTGAGATGGCCATCGGCGATCTTAGGTTCGAATTCGAACGCAGCTTGTCCACGACGCCCGTCGGCACTGCCGCCCCTCCGCTGCCATACTTTCCTGTGATCTTGTATATTGCAGTCCTCTGCCCTCCAGGCTTCCATGCTTTGTCCTGATGTAAGTTGACAGCACCGTTCCTTGTCCTTCGCTTCAGGAGCGCATGGCTGACATCAGTGAAATGGTGAGGAAGATAGATCTGTCTCCATGTGCCGACAGACCATGAGGACGGCACTGGCGACCATTGTCTTCTCACGAGGTGACAGTCTTCCCACCGCCGCCTCATCCCTTCCACCGCCGTCCATAGCTGAACTCCCTTGCGAAAACATGCCACACAGTAGTCAAGCGAAGCCGTGTGTGGTGCCGCAATGGTAGAATATTGGTGCATGCAACGTCAAAAATGCGCACGCAAGGACTCTAGAATGCAAGGTGTGCGAAGCAATCTGGTGGCGCGGAATTTGAATTCGAATGGTGAGGGTCTGCGTGCGCGTTCTCCTCATCGGCGGATGACATCGCGCACCCATATCACGGCCCCGCCTGGCTTCATGATGAGGCCGGACCGGGTGTCCCACTGGCCCAAAGGTGGCGGACACAATTTTGTCCGATGCAACTGTGGGTCGGACATTCGGTTTCCTCTTTCGGCCGCTTAGAATGCAAACGGAGCCTTACAGAGGCACCTGAAACGTAAGCAGTGCGCCTATTAAGTGTAGGGTTTTCGTAAGTGGTTGTGGTTGTGGAACGAAAAATGGGGTAAGGCCTGAAAGGGAAAATTAAGCACTTTTTCGCCGTAAGCTGAGGGCGCCCTTACAAAGTAAGGGTTTTGTAGTGGTGTCGAACGAGGCCCTTAGCCTGCTATTCGGGGCCAGGGAGGGAAGGAGGGAGCGAGGAAGGGGAGAGGGAGGAAGGGACGAAGGAGGGTGCAAATTCGCTCTAACACGAGGTAGGGTTAATAACAGTTTGAGCAAAGGTTAGTAAAGAAATCGTTGTGTGGCACTGTGGCAGTTACAGGCAGTAAAACGACAATTGAAAGGCAACACAGATTGGCCTTTATGGAGGGGCCGGGGCGGCCATAGGGTGACGTTCTGAGATCTGAGACAGATCACCGGCTCGGCGGCTCCCCAACAATGTGCCCTCCCTGAACCACCACTACCTCCGCTGCCCAGCCTCTTTTGCCCAAATTTATGAGTATTTGCACTATGCACCAGAAACAACCCGCTAGGGTGGCATTTTCTTTTGTTGTTTTTTTTTTTGGCTGGTGCTGCCAGCCATTTTGGTGTGAGACTGGTGTTTGTCTGATTCAGTCTGAAATCTTTGGATTGGCCAATTTCGATTCTCAAGTTGCACAGGGAGCAGCAAAGACTCGGAGCGAATGAAGTGACTCTTATTCATTTGGGAAAAAAAAAAAAGAAGAGTCTTCACCTAGGCTACCAGAGTGGCCCGGGGTCACTTGCCCGGCCAGGCCAAAAACATTAAAAAATAATAAAAATAAAAATAATGTATTTTTTATTTTGAAATGAGTGAAGAATCTCGATGTGACCCTGAGGCAAAAGTTATTCAGTTTATTTTTCTGCATAACATAGTTTTTTTCGTGTTTTTTTTTTTTTTGCGCTTTTTTGCTCGCCGGTCCCTTTCTGGTCCTTGCACGGGCGGGCTACCCGGGACCCGGGCGGCCCGGCTGGTAGCCTAGGTCTTCACTGTTTTTGATTTTGAATGTATCATTAACGACGCTTGTGATGTTGGCAATGCATAATATAATTATGCTCTTGTTCGTTGAACGTATAAACTGGATCCAGTACCGGCGCGGTGATCGTGTGATTGCAATTGAGAGCAATGCGCGGGGCATCGCCGCAATCATCCTCAACAAAACTGTGCCTGCTGACGACAAGATGGCGGTAGTCGTGACACCTGTCCTATCGGAGACTGCGAACCGCCTGCGGGCGACACATCCCAATGCATTTTGGGTGAAAGATTTGTCACAGCTATTTTTCTTACCAGGTCCCCTATCCGGTCCATCTGTGGGACCAGACACAGTAAGTTCAGTAACTGTTTCAACTCCAGCGGGTCAGAAAAGTTCTGTGGTGGGACCACAAACAGTCCGGGACCCATTTGTGGGACCAGAAACGGTTCCATCTGTGGGACCAGAGACAGACGCAGGTGCATTCATGACGCTCGGTAGAGAGAGAGTGGTTCCGTCTGGGTGTCCCGCAGAATCTGTCTTGGAAAGGGCAAGAGCAGGACCTGGCGAGGCTGGCGTAGACGAGAAGGCTGCAATGGGAGCCATGGTTCAAGATAGCGGAGTGGCAACTGTGGGACTGGGACCAGGAGGAACAGGCCACATAATTACCACAATGGGAGGGGCATTTATGGTACCCCCAGACATAAGGCCCAGTGCTCTCAACGCCCCCTCGGGTCTGGAAGGGGGGTTCAGAACAGCCCACGCGAAAAGCGCGGACGGCCATGACGAAGCCGTTGATGAAATGGAGGAGCACAGAGCAGTGGAGAAGGGTACTATGGGGTTTAGAACAACCCACATGAAACATGTGGACAACCAGGACACGGAAGTTGTCGATGAAATGATCGAGGGTCGAGCTTTAGAGAGGGGTGATCGAGCCTAGTAGAGGGGTTCGGAACAGGCCACATATTAGTAGACACGTTATGGCCCTCTCTGGCTTTTTGGATATAGGGCATAATAGGGGTAATGGAGCTTAGTAAGGGCCCTAAGGGGTACGGCGGGACACCCCTGGGCCTCTTGAGGCGAGGAAGGGGGTCTCAGAACAGGCCACATGAAAAACGGTGGGCCTTTTCATGTCGCTACCACACGCCAAGCTTTGCAGAGGGGAAAGTGAGCAGAAGGAGCATAGCGGTGGAAACACCTACTTCCGATACTTCGTTCCGAAGAATCCAAACACCTCCGCAACCCCCTGTGGAGTTGAAAGGGGCTTCACACCGCTCCAGAACAGAGCACACAAACAGGTGACTATCCGCCAGTGGCCCAACACACGCTGGAGAAGCGCAAGGAAGCATATTTTAAGGAGTACGGCAGCGTCAACTCAGCGATGATGCAGAATCCAAGGGTGGGGGAAGGGGGGGGAGGAAGCAGTACCGCAGTGGGCTCACCTATGTGGCAAACTCGCGCAGTGCAAGCCGGTTCGAGCGAGTAGCTAACTGGAATAATTGAATTTTGGCGTCGTGTCAACTTGCGTCCTTGCATCCTTCGGTGAGCCTGGGTTACCCATGTGTGATGGTCAGGTTCTGCTGTGCCACACGCATGTGCATAAATTTCAGAGTTCGTCCTTATCTTTCCTTGGCCCTTGGGCACTGGGCCCGTTTAAAAAAAAAAAAAAAAAAAAAAAAAAAAAGTGTAAGGGGGTTAAAGGGGGGGTCTTACAACCCCTTGCCACACTGCTTCCGGTGCTTCGTGATGGAGCAGGCATTAGGATCTCCGAGTCAGAACAGCAGCTACATCATTACTTCTCAAAATAAGATCGAAACCACTGCAGCGCCACAGGAGCCATTGATTCGAAGAGCTGTCATTTTCATTATCGCATGATGATGGGGAAGAGAACAGGATAAAAGTCATATGTGACTGTCGATCTGCACCGGCGTGATGACCTGACCATTTACAGTGCGATTTCCCAAAAGGAGGAGAAAAGAGAAAGAGAAGCACTCCAGCAGCCAGCTGGAGCGCCTGGACGCCCTGACAAAAAAGGAAAGTAAATAAAGTAAAAAGAAGGACTCCAGTTACTGTAGTTAGCTGAGACACCCTAGGGACTAGGGTAATAATCCCGGTAATTGAGTAATAGTAGAGTATGCATTTGCTTTCGAGGGTAGTAGAGTATGCATTTGATTTCAAGAACTTTTGCACCCTCAGGTAGAGTCTGAGCGCCTGGACGTGCAAATGCATACTTTTTTTTTTTTTTTTTTTTTTTGGCATACTCTATAATTACCCTAGTAGGTGCAAAACTGCATACCTTAGCCTTCAAATGCATCCCTTGAGCAACAAACACACAGAGAGAGAGAGAGAGAGAGAGAGAGAGAGAGAGAGAGAGAGGTTTAAGCTGTTCATACTCAAATAGAGGTGAGACTTAAGAAAAGGTAAGATTGCCTTGAGGCTTGAGCTCTACCGGCCGAGAACTTGGGGAAGATATTCAGTATCCTTGTTTCTATGCCTGCAGCCAGTATCATAAGCACATAGATTGCCTCTGTTCCTTTTGGGGGGAAAGTGTGGCTGTGGAGAGGCTCTAGTTTTCAGACAACTTGTAATGCCATTTATAACAAAATACAAGGGTCAGTGTAACCAAACTTGCCACCAAGTCATAGAGTAGAGACCATAGTTACTAGGTGCAAAAAAAAAAAAAAACGAAAAAAAAAAAAATATATATATATATATAAAACAGCAAGGCAGAAATGCATTTTCATTCAAATTTAGCCAACTTGAAGTTGAACATTCAGTTTCAGAAATCTTGAGAAAATTCAGAAATCTTAGCAGAGGAAATTCCAATGCTTCGAATGAGACTAAATTTGGTACACAACATCCTTGAACCAAAACAAAAACAGGCAAAAAAAAAACAAACAAAAAAAAAAAAACATAAAGCTGCCGATGTCATGGCTGTGACACACTTTTAGTTTGAAATAGACAAGAAAAGACAAAGTGCCAAAGTGGCACCGCCGGTGTCATCGTGTCATGGTGTGAGTTTCAAAATGTGCGAGTTAAGCGGGGGTCTTACACTTTAAACTGCTCCAGTCATTAACCACAGTGGCGCTTGGCAGATTTAGGGTCGCCTACTTTGCCCCCATTCCGGAAAGTTGCGGGAACTGCTAAAGTAACTCTGTTGCCTATTCTGAACGTTGGGTATGACTCCAACCCCTCCCTAGTTTTTTTCTCAATGGATGCATTTGATCATCCAGAAACTAATTAAGCCACCACTGCCTGAGGCAGGCGGAGGGATGGTGTGGGGGAGGGGGCCCTCCGTTTCCCCGAAGTGGTGGGTGTTTCATGAGCCCAGAACGGGAGTTATTGTACCCCATTTATTTCGGGGTGCCGAGGGGTGGGGGTGGGGCGAGGGAAAGGGGGAGAAGGAGGGTCTATCTATCCGTATGTTCGGTGGAAGAGAGGTGTGAGGGACTCTATCAGGGACGAGGCCACATTTTCCTAAACACGTTAAGAGTAATTCAGGCAATGACATGGAGCTTACACTGTGTGTGTGTGTGTGTGTGTGTGTGTGTGTGTGAGAGAGAGAGAGAGAAGGGGGCAGAAAGGGAGAGGGGTAGAAGGGGGCAGAGAGGGTAGAAGGGGGCAGAGAAGGAGAGTCTCAGAGTGAAGAAACGTTACTCAAACATACAAGTCAACCAAGGCAATGACAAATAACGCTATGATCATGATCGGATAGAATCGGTAGACTTTGGAGTCTGGACTAATAGTATTAACTTTTAAGCATGGTTGCCCCGGACCCGGACATCCAGACACCGGACATCGGGTCCGGACCTGTGTCTGGTTGCAACCGGTCGTCTGGTAATCCGGACATTCATCCGGACAACCGGACATCGGACCCGGACTGTCCGGTTGCAGAGGTCCCGGTCCGGATGTCCGGATTAAAAAAAAAAAATTGTTCTTCCTAGTGAGCTTGCAACTCGCAAGTTCAAGGTTCTTCCTAGTGCTTCGGCATCCTGCAAACAGCACGGCAAACAACAAAGGACGACTTGTGTTAGAGCCAGTGCCTCCCCCGCTTCTCTCTCTCTCTCTCTCTCTCTCTCTCTCTCTCTCTCTCTCTCTCTCAATCCAATCGACCGATGGATGGATGGATGGATTGATTGATTGATTGATCCGTTGATTGATTGATTGATTGATTGACTGATTGATTGATTGATTGATTGGTTGATTGGTTGATCGGTTGATTGATTGAATCAATCAATCGGATTCAATCCATCAAACAATCAATCAATCAATCAATCAATCAATCAATCGACTGATGGATGGATTGATTGATTGATCGGTCGATTGCTTGATTGATTGATTGGTTGATCAATCAATCAATTGGTTGATCAATCAATCAATCAATCAATCGGATTCAATCCATCAAACCATCAATCAATCAATCAATCAATCAATCAATCGGATTCAATCAATCAAACAATCAATCAATCAATCAATCAAGCTTTCGGGTATTTCATCGGAAAAGTTGATTGCTTGTTTGATCGATCTGTGAGCAGATCCACTTGTTGGTCTGCTCTGATACCAAAACTGTGCCATACTCGTGAGGATTCCTCATGAAGTATGAGCAGAACCAAGAATCATCAAGTATAGGATGCGCATAGCGCAGTGGAAGTCTGAACGATTTGGGCGATGGGAGGGCGATGGGTGCAATGAGTCAGTGACTACAATCACTGCTACATGTCCAAAATTTGGGCGATGGGAGGGCGATGGGTGCAATGAGTCAGTGACTACAATCACTGCTACATGTCCAAAATGTCATCAATCAGGTAACCTCAAAATGTCGCCAGGATACAAGTTCATAGAACAATGTCGCCGGAATTTGATTGATTGATTGATTGTGTGTGTGTGTGTGTGTGTGTGTGTGTGTGAGACGGAGAGAGAGAGAGAGAGAGAGTAAGCTCTTACGGAATAAGTACGAGTAACCCGACACCGCCCTCCCAAAAAAAAAGAAAAAAAAGAAAAAAAAAAGGAAAA